TGTGCTGCAGGGTCAGAAGACCAAGCAGTCGTAAGATCGAATCCACGCGACGGAGTGAGCGCCTGTCGCTTGTCCCAGCTCCTGCCAACCTAGCGGTTCGAAAGCATGCAAATGCGAGTAGGTTAATAGGGACCACCTCGGTGGGAAGGTAACGGCGTTCCGTGTCTAAGCCGCACTGGCCATGGTGACCATGGAAGATTGTCTTCGGACAAAACGCTGGCTCTGTGGCTTGGAAACGGGGATGAGCACCGCCCCCTAGAGTCGAACACGACTGGACAAAAATTGTCAAGGGGAACCTTTACCTTTACTTATATCCTTTAGACAATGTAAGTTCTTTCAATGTAGTATGTAGCCATAAAAGGACTTGACCAGCCTTGCACCAGACCTGACTTTTGCAGTGTGTGTTTAAATGCCACAAGATTTGGAGAGTATTAGCACAGCTGTCTGCTGGGTGGTGTGAAAAGGAGAGGAAAGGCCAGCACACACAAAGGGCCAGTGTTATAAATAGATGGCCAAGAATGTGCTTTCCGGAAGGAATTAAGAGTTTAAGCTCAATGGCATGTGCAGGCTACTTTCTGCTGTGCTAGTGGAGGCTTGTTACTGTTTCTGCACCTAAAAATTGTGCCGTAGGCATTCCATGTACTGGAATCGTAGACTTTAACTTCCTTAGGTCAGAGACCTATTGGCGGCTTATACAGGCATAAATAAAATCAAATAAGTCACTGCAAAGAATTGGTGCTAATTAATTAGATGTAGTCGCATTACTGGTTTTGTGGCTGTTGCATGACTGGACACAGGATCAGCAATAATAACACCTCATTAAAATTAGAGGCAATTTGCTGCTGTGATTAGTGTGATTTCACTTATGCACACATCAGTTACCAGTAAGATTCTGACTTTGGACACTCAAATGTTTGTATTATTTAAATAGTTTTTAAAGGTAGTTTCTGGTTTTTGCTGTCCTACAGTTTAATGTATTTTGCAGTAATGAGAGTTCAAGTTAATGTATCTGCTCATTTAAAATAAACTCCTAACGTATTTATATTTGGACTTTGGTGCAGGCCCTGGTCATCTCCTGGATTGACTACTGCAATGCTCTCTGCATGGGACTTCCCTTGAGCCCGATTCAGAGACTTCAGCAAGTCCTGAATGTGGCAGCCAGACTGGTAGTGGGTGCGAGTAAATTTGACCACATCACTCCAGTCCTGGCTCACCTCAACTGGTTGCCTGTGGTATCCCGGATCAGGTTCAAGGTTTTGACACTCGCATACAAAGCCCTCCACGGTTTGGGCCCATGTTACTTGTCAGAGCGTCCCTCCTTAATGTCATGTTCCCGACGCACAAGATCATTCCAGTCGAGGCTCTTCCGGATGGCCACCCCGAGGGAGGCTCATAAATCCTCTACAAGAGGTAGGGCCTTCTTTGCGGTGGCTCCAACCTTAGGGAACCAGCTTTTGGAGGAGCTCTGCCTAGCCCCCCCCTCCGGTGGACATTTAGGAAGCAGTTAATAGACGTTGCTTTTCAGGGAGGCTTTCCACATCAACCACAGGTGATCACCTTCCCCACCTCCTTTCCTCCGTCCATTCTGGGTTTATATGATTACTCTGTGCCACAGGGCTTGGAAAATTTTAGAATGTCTCACCAGTCAGTCAGAAATTTCACCAGTCAGCATGACTGGACTATAGCCTTGCAATTTGTGTTTAACCTTAAATTTAAACTAGGCACTTTCTACATAACAATGTGTACAAACCCAAAATAAACCCTCAGACTTGGGTTGCTTTATTACCTGCTTACCTGTGGGGTCATGAAGCTTGTATTTTGAATGCCTTTCTTTTGGATATCTCTAGCAAAAATAAAACTGAAAGCAGAAGTGCATCTTTATTTTTGTTCTCTGTTATACGTGTTGTAACTGCCCAGAGTAGTGACTAAGGGTAAGGAGGGGGGGGGGGAGGGAGCTGTGGCTTGTCAAGCAGCGCCTTTTCACTTGTCACAGACAAGAGGATTTTTCAAGCCCTGCTGTGCCATGTTTTTAGGACTATTATTGTTGCTTTTAATGTTTTTATCTTTATTTTTGTTCTCTGTTATACGTGTTGTAACTGCCCAGAGTAGTGCCTTGGCATTAATGGGAATGGCATGCAAATTGAATGAATTAATATTTATGAAGGAGAGTAACTAATTCTTTGTAGATTTTACCACATTACTGTGTGATGGTGACCAGAGGTTGTAGCATCCTTTCAGAGTAAACAGACAAGTATCTTGTATCCATGGTGCTCAACCTTGGGTACTCAGATGTTCTTGGATTACAACTCCCGCCTTCACCACTAGCTATGCTGGTCAGAATTTCAGGGAGTTGTAGTCCAAGAACATCTGGGGATCCAATGAACAATGTTCTAGAGCATTGGTTCCCAACCTTGGGCCTCCAGATGTTCTGTGACTTCAACTCCCAGAAATCCTGGCCAGCATAGGTGATGGTGAAGACTTCTGGGGGTTGTAGTCCAAGAGCATCTGTAGGCCCAAGATTGGGGACCACTGTTCTAGAGGTTTTGCACTACATCTTGGTCAGTAAGGCTGACAGCTGGGAGGGATGGGAAAACCACCTGGTTGCTTACCCCAATGAATTACAGGTAAATTGCTTTATTAAGCAAATCTTGGGACTGAGGCCTTTTATAATCTGCTTAGCCTTAATTTATATACAGTATTCTTTCCTCCAGTGAGCTCAGTCAAATGTTTCTGGTTCTCCTCCTCACTAATTTATCCTCACAACATTCCTGTGAAGTAGATCACACTCAAAGAAAGTGTCTAGTCTAAGCTCACAATGTGAGTTTCATGGTTACTCTGCACCCGTTCTCATCCCTCCTTGTGAATTTGACTGACCTTGGCAACTGAATTTTTGTGTTTGAATTGTTGCACTGCAGTCTTTTTCCTGTTTGCGGGTAAAGGAGCTGAATGAAGAGACTATATGTTGCCTAACCATTGTTTCAACACCAACTGTTGGAAACTTTTCTAGGTGGAAGAGCTGGCTCTTCAGTCCATGATCAATGCAAGGGAAGAGAATATGCCCATCTCTTCTGCGGCTCTAACGGAAGAACATCAAAATGTAAGCCCCCCCCCCCACTCATATCTGCTTTTGCTTATGAGGAAATCGGCTTTTGCATTTAGTGCCAGAGAAGACAAGTATTCTGATTCTAAGGAGGCGATGCAAGGCATTTTGCATGTCTGAATCACTATGCCATTTATTTCCTCCCAGCTGGAAAAGAGATGATGATTTGCTTCCCCTGCCAAAATGTACTTGGAGCGGTTGAATTATTTGTAGCTGTGGTGGCGTGCTGAGCCACTACTGTCAGTCAGTGGCAGGAAACGTTGGAATGTGAGACAGTACCTAATGGCAAACAAGGAGGTTAAAAAATACAAAATATATTTAAAGAAGCATAGTATCTGAGTGTGATACCTAGTATGCTGTGGGGTTATAGTGACAGACTAGGAGGCCTGGGTTTGAATCCCCCCTCAGCCATTGAGGCTAACTGGGGGGCATGGAACTGGTAAAACGACTCCTGAAATACCTCATTCACCTTGAAAGCCCTATTAGGGTCACTATAATTGGGTCCAAATTGAGAGTACATAATAAGAACTATGTAGTTCTATCCCCATTGGTCCTCTGTTGTCCGGCACAATCCTTGTTCTAACCTCTTAATTGGAGTCACTAGATTAGGGGCTGGAAGTGACCTTGACTTTATAAATGGGGTGGGCAAGCTTGGAAGCTCCAGGGATCATTTCGCCAGCGCCAACAGGTGAAATAAGACACTGCTGGAAAGTCATGTCTGGTTTTAAAGCTAACCAATAAAAAGCAAATGAAGGTTTTTGCTTAAGTGGCCAGAATCCTGCTGGGCATTTCCACTGGTGTAGGTATAGGTGTAATTGTGTAAATCATAGCAGCAAACATGTAAGCTGCTGCTCACAGTCCTGGTTATGTGTCTGTCACACGACTTTGCATGGAATGCAAGCAGCAATGGCAATCCACCAGAGTTTATGCTGTTATACTGGTGTAAAATTCCCAGTAGGTTTCTGACCAATGTGCATCTTCGTGGTGTATCTTGTGTTAGAGGAGAACCACCAATGTAGGAGTTCAGTTCTACTTTTTGGGAGGAAAAGGTTTTCTGGGGAGCTTTTAAGGCCACAGAAATAGCCTTGAGGGCTGCATGATTCCCACCTACACTGTAAAACAAATGAGTATGGAAAACTGAATGGAAGAAGTTTGTAAAGCACCCAGTGCATTCACCTTGAAAGCCCTCTGGATGGCTCAGCACATCTGGATGGCTCTTGTCAGCCAGTACTCCTCCCGTTTCCCCACTTAGGAGGTCTGTCTTTGCTCTCTTCTGGGCTGTTGGCAACCCCATGGATTCTTCCATGCGGGAGCAGGCTCTGCTCCAGGAAGGCCGCCATGAGGGTGTGTGAAATGTAACGCAAGGGTGTTAATGCAGGTCCTTACACCCTTCAAAGAAAAGATGCTCTTCTCATTTGTGTCCCTTGGCTTGAAGTAACCTGTTTGTTTCCCTCATTCTGAATTCAGGAGCAGATGGACAATGAAGCAGCTATCAATCAGACTAAACTGCAGCTACAAATGTGTATCAGTGAAGAAGAGGAGGAGGAAGAGGAAGAAGAACAGGAATCGGATTCCTAAAGTGGGGCATACAGCAGTCTGGCTACCCTTCCCCACCTCCCACTCAGGAACCTCCCTGTTTTCCATTTAAAAAAAAATATGACTGTACGAGACTTTGCCTGGTGCTGCAGAGATCCGGCTGTACTAAGAAATGCAACAGCATTTCCCAAAGCTTCCAGAAGTGAAGATAAACTGTTGGTAGGAATGTGGTGTTGATTCATAACTATGTAGCATGTTTTATCCTTAACACACAAACACACTCTTGGAGCCAAGTAGCATTCAGGAGATGCCAGGACACAGCTCTCAAAGCAATAATTTCTCCATGAAACATCTATGGCTGGTAAAAATGATAATTCTAAACAAACGGCAGCAGCAAAACCACATTAGGTAAAACTGTTCAAACTATAAAACAAAGGAAAAAAGAACTAATCCAGGACTCTGTGCATGTAGCTATTTGGTGGGTTTGCTGTGGCATAAAACCACTACTGATAATGATCTCTAACCATCTTTTGTTCGTTGTATAAACCTTTGAACACATCATTAATTGTCTGCAAGTAATATTAGAAGGGATGTGGTGACGCTGCAGGTTAAGCCACAGAAGCCTCTGTGCTGCAAGGTCAGAAGACCTGCAGTCATAAGATTGAATCCACGTGACGGAGTGAGTGCCTGTTGCTTGTCCCAGCTCCTCGCCAACCTAGCAGTTTGAAAGCATGTTAAAAATGAGAGTAGATAAATAGGTACCATCTCGGTGGGAAGGTAAAACGGTGTTCCCTAGTCACACTGGCCACGTGACAACGGAAACTGTCTATGGACAAACGCTGGCTCTATGGCTTGGAAACGGGGATGAACATCATGCCCTAGTGTCGGACATGGCTGGACTAAAATGTCAAGGGCAACCATTACCTTTAATATTAGAAAACAACTGGTTTTTATTTTTTTTTGGTGCTTCCCTTCATAAGGGTCCTGTGAGAGTCCAACAAGTTTCATCCAATTATTGTATAATAATTATTTTTTTCATCTTTTTTTGTGAAAGTTTTCCTGAATGGGGTGGCCCAATTATTCTCACTCGCCAACACTGTTTGGCCACTTGTAACCTTTGCTGCAGGGTCAGAATACCAGCAGTCGTAAGATCGAATCCACGTGATGGAGGGAGCTCCCGTCACTTTGTCCCAGCTCCTCGCCAACCTAGCAGTTCAAAAGCATGTAAATGCGAGTAGATAAATAGGGACCACCTCGGTGGGAAAGTAAACAGCGTTCCGTGTATAGCCGCGCTGGCCACGTGACAACGGAAACTGTCTTCAGACAAAACGCTGACTCTATGGCTTGGAAACAGGGATGAGTACCGCCCCCTAGAGTCGGACACGACTGACTAAATGTCATGGGGAACCTTTACCTTTACCTAACCTTCACTGTAATTAGGTTTAGGGTAAGCAATGAGTCTCTTACCTTAAATTCCTTAGCCTGAAGCCATATTCTGCTGTAGGGTTACGAATGTGGCTGTGCCCAAGTGAGACAGGGAATGTTTGTAGCAGTGGCTTCTAGCATAATGCGGAGCTATCCTTCCCTTTGTTTGGTCATCATAGCCTCGGAAGGAGGAGGAACTGCTGCGTCATCACAACAGCCTTGCGGTTGACAAAGTGAGTAGCACTGGTCGCGTTCCTAATGGTTTTCCTTCCATGTGCACGCTTTAGTGGCTGTCTCCTGTTTTGCCACTTACAGGCAAAACACTCTTAGACCTGGAAGTATTAGGGAGTTTATTTGGGCAGGTCCCTGTGTGGTGTCTGCTGAGAGTCGCATGCACCAGCTCACCAGACTCCCAGGCTGAGAGGAGCATCGGCTACCGCAGGGTGAGCCTGTTTTAGAAGGTCCTCCCTTTGTGTCCCTGGCTAGAAGTGGAGAGGACCAGTGAGGTCGGGGGGCGGAGGCCGTAGAGACCAAGGCGAGAGGCACACCCACCCTTTCATTACAAATGCTTTGAGCTGCAAGCAGCACTTCCTTAAAAAAAAAAGCAGTTCCCTGGAGTAAATTCATGATATATTTATTAGTGTAAGATGAAATTGCTCAACATCTGAAAGAATAAAATGATTAAAAGAATTTTCAAACACAAAGTCTGCACAGTTTTTCATATCAAACATCAGCTGATATAGAAGGGAACCGATACTGAGGCATTTGGGAAAAAAAACAATTTTGACCATGGCTGAGGGTTACTCCTATCTCTCTTTCTCAAAATACAAATCTCAACTGAGAGAAGTGCACCACTAATTCCAAAATATCTAACCGACACTGGAAAAAATAAATAGAAGTGCCAACAGACTTCTTTATGTTGACAAGAGGAGGCTTTGCTGAGGTCCTGCTCACATTACCAAGAGTTCATTGTAAAAAGCTCAGAACAGTGACTGGAACTTGGATTTCGGATTCATAGCAGCTAACACATGCTCGGGGAGAGGCTTGTTCGAAGCATCCCTTACCACGTCGCCTGAAACTGACTAAGCAAGACTGAAAAGTACCACCAAGTTACAAATGCTTCATGTCAAAACAACCTAGGCAAGGGGGTAGGAAGGCAGTAGCTCCAGCCAGATTTCCCATTGCAAAAGGGTATCCAGCATTTACTCCAAATCGGCATACCACTAACTTAAAGCATCACATGTTTGGTCAGTTAACAAAGTAAGTAATCAAAACACAACAGCTGTCATTTTAGAATCTGAAAGAGAGAGAGAAAGAGGTTGGCACAGAAAAATAATTTGGCACATGCTAAGTAGAGAGAGGTGTTTTTCCTTAAATGGGATGGGGAAATGCACTTTTTAGTAGACAAGAAGCTTTGAAGAAACAGGACCAAAACAGCGTTGCTTTAAATAGCTAATAGGAGGAAGGACCCAAATGCCAATCCACCAAGCGCCCTTGGGTCTTCTGTGGGGCTCCCTGGTCAACCCCCTCCTTGGAATGATGGTTGTGTAGCAGCAGCACTTGGTGGATTCTCTGCATCCTTGTTTGATTGTCAGACTCCGCCAGCGTGGGTCGGGGTACTAGGCTGGTTAAGGCCAATGGTGGAACACAGCCAGCCTGCAAAATCCACTTCTTCTGCTTCGGATCTCTTGATGAACGTGTGGACCTGAAGGAGGCCAAAGAATAAAGTTACCACCACCCCAAAGAAAAACAGGGCAGAGTTCCTAACTGCGTGCTGGCTCCAAGGCAAGGAAGGCCTGTCGTAGAGTGGCACAATGCTTTCCTCCTTACTTCCTTGTGGCCACTGTTGTTGCACACTGTTGCGCAGCACACAGAGAGCCAGAAGTGTCACTAAAGCGGCGGTTGTGGGCTTTTTTGGGCTCTTTGGCTGTGTTCTGAAGGTTGTTCTTCCTAACGTTTCACCAGTCTCTGTGGCCGCCATCTTCAGAGGACAGCACTGTCAGAGAGACCAGCCACAGAGACTGGCGAAACGTCAGGAAGAACAACCTTCAGAACACGGCCAAGAGCCCGAAAAACCCACAACAACCATTAGATTCCGGCCGTGAAAGCCTTCGCGAATACAATGTCACTAAAGCCCTTCTTTTTTTGTTCATGTCAGAAACAACACAGTCTCATTAACAGAGACAGCAGATACCGTATTTTTTGCACCATAAGACACACTTTTTTCCCACTAAACAGGGGGGTGGAAAGTCTGTGCGTCTTATGGAGTGAAGAAAACAGATTATATTTTCCTGTTTTCTTCTCTTAAAAAATTGGTGCGTCTTATGGAAAGGTGCGTCTTATGGTGCGAAAAATACGGTAATTGTTGCCCAACAACAGGCAACATCAAGAACACTGAGGGCAGCTAACGTTAAGTCTTCTAATGGTCCATATTGAGAGGAGTACAGAGTACACTGACAGAGGTGTCAAGTGGCTGGTTTCTTCTTCTGCACTCACAAAAGACTGTATATCTTGAGGGGAAAACCCAATTTTCTTAAGTTCAGATTGGTCCTATCCACTCTAGCCTTTAGCCCGAGTAACCCAGTGCTGGAGAGGGCTAGTTCTGTCTTTCCACATTGTAGTCCTAGCACTCTCTGCTGTTTCTTTGAGATTCATCGATATTCGAACCAACCTTTTTCTTGATTTTAATCTCGGAGGGATGGGATGGGAGACAAAGTGTGGAGGGCACAAGGAAAGCTCCGAGAAAGAATCAGAACAGGTAAACTGAGAAATTAGGGTTCCATTTACCATAAGCTGCTTTAAATCCGCCCTCTCTGCTGGATTCTTGATCAAGCTGTACAAAAAAGAACAGAGGGAGCCATTATTGCGCGTTCCAGTTCTCTCAAAATCTGATCAAAATGATAGCAGAGGCTGCTCCTTTTGCCTAAGACCTGGCACCCTATTGCCTGCAACAGCTCTCCATAGCATGAGCTGCATGGCTTTCATTCATTTAACCGGGTTGGAGCAAGACCTCCCCGGAATGCCAGGTTGTACCACGTTATAAACTAAGGGCAAAGCTGTGCCAGTTTGGTGTGTGAGCCGGAAAATCCACAAACATCTTGATCCAGCCAACTTGTTTTGAATTGTTTTCAAAGAAAGGAAATACATCTTTCTTTTCTTTCCTTCCCCATTCATACTAGCGCTCTTAGAATTCCTTTTAAAAAGGGAAAAAAATCCTGGGGGGAAAAACTCCTCAGGAGTTGAACTCACCATTTGTTCACAAAGTCCTGGAATTCTGGACTAAAGACCCCACTGGGAAGCTTGGGAGGAGGCTGCCGGGTGACATTACGAAGAGATGGATGCAAACAGGAATCAATGTTAACTTGCGGCATTTTCATTGCTATATAATACTTATTATTATAAAATACTTCTATTCTAATACATCAGCTCAACAAGACAAAAAAGTATGGCAGATGATGCTATTGACAGGCAGAGATTCAATATTTGGGGGATTCTTTGTAGGAAAAGCCTAAGCTGAATTTTTAAAAGCAGAGATAGACTGCCAAACCACCCTGTTCTTGTGCCTTTTAAATATTAAATGTTAGCTGCCTTTTGTGTTGCTGTACTAACAGGCATCTATCCTTGCAGGCTGCTGATGCCATCGGTCAGGGACCTGACGGCAAAATTTTGAAAACTGGCTTTATTTCAGAATGGCAGACAAAACAAAAGCAGTTGTCAATCATCAGCAGAAATGTAGAAAAGCTACGAGGTAAAAGCCCGTGCATAGAGGTATACAACCGTGACTCTAAAATCAGAAGCCCAGAAAAGGAGATCACACAGCTCTCGATCCTGTGCTGTCCCCTCAATCAGGACATGGGAGGCTGAATCACAACTGGATATGGGTAGGTGCAATCAACAGGGTCATAACTAACTCTGCAGAATTTAAGTCATTTGCAGCCTTGCTTGGTTTAGGGATACCAGAGAATAACGGCTGCCAGAACAATATTCTGCGGCAGTCGGAAGGGGTCTTTTGCATCTCAGGTGCAAGTTGACAAATCGCTTCAAACGGGCAAAATCAGCAATTGTCCTGATTGGGGAGAGCAGCAGTTGTTAGTAGAAAAGAATGTAGTGGTGTACCCTTAAATGTGAAATGTGACACAAGCTAGCTTACCTCATTGACTATATAATCTAGGAGTTCGAAGATAGCCATTGGTGGTCTGCTATCGGAACCATAGGCTGAAAAAGCCGTAGCAGAAGGTTATAAATCGCAAGAGAGGTTATAAACTAACAACATGCTCTATACCATTTGTAACTTTTCTTTGCTAGTGCCAGTTACTAAAACTGCTTTAGCAGGTTCAAACAGAAAGACAACAATTTGTTGTTGTTGTTAGGCACCCTTCAGTCTCGAAAGACTATGGTGACGTGCTCTGACTTGGAACAGTGTCTAGTGTGGCTGAGGAGGCCAATTCGAGAGTGACAATCTCTTCCACACTTTAAAAAAAACTACAACCCTGCTCCAGATGGCTTGGAAATTCATTCCCCTTTGTTTTCAGAAGGTGAGAGGAGAAGCGGGTATTGTGATGCTATGACAAGCATTACACTGGAGAGAGGTCAATGTCATCAGCTATACTCCCCCTACATTTGTCTCCACTTAAAGCCAGATAATAATTGATAAAAAAATTCATATGAAAGGAGCACTACGTTTTTGCACTTAATTACTACCGCATATACTAGAGTATAAGCTGACCCAACTATAAGCCGAGGCACCCAATTTTACCACAAAAAACTGGGAAAACTTATTGACTCGAGTATAAGACGAGGGTGGAAAATGCAGCAGCTACTGGTAAATTTCAAAAATAAAAAGAGATACCAATAACATTACATTAATTGAGGCATCAGTAGGTTAAATGTTTTTGAAGATACTGCCCTTCTGTATTCTTTACATTTCACTGTTTGTCATGTGCCTCTGTGATACAGCCATCCTGGAGCATGTGAAGGACAGCTGGCAGGACTTCACACGACACACACAAGATTGCTGGCTTACACACTTGAATCCCACAAGATGCTGGCCCAGTTATTTGCTTCTAGTTTTTTTTAAAAAAAACATAAAATTCTGCTTCAGAGTTCTGAAGAAAGAACGCCGGGCCTTATTTTAGAGAACGGCCACTCCTGGTGGCTTTCAGAAGCAGTGATTTTGCTTCTCCCGCAAGATAGGGAAAGGCCCAGGGGCAAAAACTGCCTTGTGAGTTCATGTGGAACCCAGAAGCCATGTACAATCATACCCCAACCTCAGAAAACACTCTTCCTTTCTAGCCCCCGCACATAGCCAAAGTTGCCTTACCACTCATGGGACGGCCTGGTGTTCTTTGCCTGGGCGACGTCTCCGAGATCGGCGAGTCAGCCCCAATGGGGCACCCAAACATGAGTTCCAGCTCCTTCGAATCTGGTGGGGGAATCGGGTATCTGCCAATAGCCATTTCTACCAGCGAGAGCCCCATGCTCCAGATATCCGACTGCACCGAATAGTGAGTCCCCTGTAGTCTTTCTGGCTACATGCAGAAAATGACAACAACAACAACAACAAAAATGAAAGCAAGTAAAACTCTGAGGGGCAGCAGAAATTTGCAACATGGTCTAGGGAACATTTCATTCAGCCGTAACCTGGGAAGTATGACAAGGGAGGCAAAAGGGAGGGAGAAGCTTCACACTACATGTTGTCTCAGGTACTCTTTCTGTTTTGGCTTTTCTGCTTCACCCAAAGCCACCCACCCCTAAATAGCTAACAATTTGGTTTGGAAGCCTGTAGGATGTGCAGACCTTCAAGGGTGACTGACCTGCTGAACATTCCACAAATACCAACATGTTTAAAAAATATTTGCTATTGGTTTACTATCTATTAAATCTCCCCCAACAAAGAAAACTGTGTGACCATCTGGCTTCCACAACCATTTTTAGCATCTCCTATTAAAACTGACCCTGAAATGAATAGGTACCATTTCTATCAAGGGGTGTCTCTGTACAAGGCAGATACACCAGAGTCAGAACTACGATTCCACACTCCTACCCACCTTGCGCTTGGAAGTTCAAAGACCACAGAGGTTCCTTGCAAGGTCTGATCCCAGAAATGTCAATCCTGACTACAGCATTTCTGGGTCGAAAGCAGCTTGTGACAACTGCACACACCTTATTCTGCTGCAGGGCTAGCAAAAGACATCAGCACGCACGCATCACAGAAAAAAAATCTACATGCAAATTGGGACTGCACAAATTCCTATCCCATAGCGTTGCCTGCATAACCTGCATTTCTGCTGTGGACGATCTCAACTTAACCATCTGTACTTACGGACATGTACGACCGTGTGCCCACAAAGGAGTTTGCCATTGAATCTATCAGTTGTCCACTGACACCAAAATCACAAAGCTTGATCTCCCCTCTAGAGTTTACCAAAATGTTGGATGGCTTAACATCTGGGAGGGAAAAAAGAAGAAGGTGAATGGAGGATATATATTTAATTTTATTTAAGGCCTTTCAGCCCTGCCTTTGATCTCTGAAGTTCCCAGAGTGATTACAATGAAATGGGAGAATCGAGCCACAAAAAGGAACCAAAAAAAAAAAAAAGAGAGAGAGAGTGAAGGGTGACAGGCTCCCTTTCTTCTTAATCTCTTTTCTACTTCCAAAAACACTCGTTTTCCTTTGATAGCAAAGAAGGCAGAATGTCCCCGGGATCTGGGGAGCAGCATGGTCACCTCACAACCTCTGGGAACAGGTTTTCCAGATGTGCTGCAAAGAAACCCCACCTTACCCATGATGTTTGTTTTTAAACAAGTCACCGATACACACAACAAGTTGTGTATGGAATGTGCACCTTGTTTGTCACCAAAGTAGTACAGTATTTGGATGACGTTTCTGGGAGCACTAACTGGTTTTCAGACAAGTCACACAATCCTCCACACATAATTGGTTTAATGAGGAAGAGGTTTGGGTTGTTGTTTTTTTTAAAGAGCCTTTCCCGCCTCTACTGCCACCCCACCTCACCAAATTCTGGAGGTGCAGCAAGAGTTGTTGTGACAAGGGATGCAGGAAGACCCTCAAGGATACACAAAAACATTTGGGGAGTGAGTGTTTAGCCCTGCACTCACACAATCCTCCACACATAATTGGTTTAATGAGGAAGAGGTTTGGGTTGTTGTTTTTTTTAAAGAGCCTTTCCCGCCTCTACTGCCACCCCACCTCACCAAATTCTGGAGGTGCAGCAAGAGTTGTTGTGACAAGGGATGCAGGAAGACCCTCAAGGATACACAAAAACATTTGGGGAGTGAGTGTTTAGCCCTGCACTACAGTAGCATAGTACAGG